CTACCAGTCATAGGAAAATCAAATGGAATTAAATCATAAATCAATGAACAGTTATTTGCTAATAACCAAGACTTTAGACGCATCAAGGTTTCATCTCCTTTGTCTGCCAATTTTTTGACATTTAGTTTCTTCTTTTGATGTCGTTTTCTTGATGTTCTACCCATTATGTATATATCTGTAGAAGCAGTAAATAGATATTTTGAAATAAATCATTTTTTGTTAGCTATCATCAAATATAGATTATTAAATATTCATTACCAGGACTGTCTACATTCTTTTAATGACTGACGATTATTATAATTGCTTATCAGTAACATTATAACTAGAGCAATTATGAGATAATTAAGGAAGGCAAACAGCATATAGTAGTTAATGACATTGTTATGTAATATATAAAAATATGTAAGTGAGAAGAAGTACCCTAATTCCAATAGCTGGAAACATTGGATTACATGTCGAAACGCTAAGAAAACCTCCTTCTGAATAAATTTGTTGTCTTCGTGATTTATATGAACATGTTGTATATGATCTGAACCAAAGTTTCCTTTCGTTATACGCAACACGTTGTAGGCGGCGACATGAAATAATGCTTAACATTATATCAGGAATTTTAATTCACAAATGAAAATATAAAAATGAAATTCACAAATTAGGTTAGTGGCTCATGGTACGGACACTGCATATACATGTACATATACTGATTGTACATCTCGATCACGAAATGTATACATAATCTAGATGTATGCCTACAGAAATATCTCAAGTTTTCCAAGACTATGTGGTCACAGCACTGACGATTCAATGCTAAGAAAAAATTTACTACGGATTGCATGCGCAGTAATATGGTGAAGATGCTTGCAAAAGCTGAGTGAGGTAGAAATATGGCGCAAAACATGAGGTATTACTATACAGTAATAGTACTATTTATGTATTGATGTATGTGTGTTCATACATATACAGTACGTACATCGTGTATGCATACAACTATCATCTACGTCGTCATGGAAACCATATGACGCCAAGGCACGGACTATGTGTAGATTGTAGTTATTGTTGTGTGTAAACGGTCTTTAAGGATCATGAAGTAGCGCACAGTTGTCTAGATGATATCGCATGATTATGCATCTACAATCTACAATATGTTACATATATGGCGCATTCCCACCGCTTCGATGTTTGCCTTTCAGGAGTGGGAGGTTTAAGGAGGATTTCGGGAAGCGTGCGGACATGAGGGACGCCCCTATGTTGCAGGCGAATGGTCATACTGCTTCCTATCGATGCACTTATTATTTTTGTATTTAACAAAAATAAACATATTCAAATGTAGTAATTTTTCCATTGAAGATCGATAAAGCTTCACATAGATAATATAGAGTAAATGGATAATAGAGAAAAAGCGAAAAAACTTTGATCTAAGTTGGATACTGGATCGCATACTTTCCTCAGAAAATAAGGTCAAAAGTAAAAGTTTTGAAACGTCAATCATGTGCGTTATACCTGTTGCATGCGACACCAATACTAATGTTGAGGAAAAACTTAGTTCACGGGTGTGTACGGTATAAAATGTCTACGAACAAAATTGTTTCTACTTTTTTGAAATACGGAGATACAGCCAGATCGGTTGTGTGCGCCGATCACAGGCTGTACTGTACAGTACACAGAAATGTGCACACTTGCATGGCAAATAGATTTCGTTTGCAGTACTGCAATAAGGTAGAAACTAAACTTGCTGGAAATCAAAAGCCAGATTGGAACAAAGCTGTTTCAGAAGCGGAGAAAATTGTTGGATATCCAACATCATTTTTAAGCTTACGGTGGCTTCTGAGCGATGAAATTGCAAATGTAGCACTGCATCTGAGAAAATTGGTGGGGTCTAATCATCCTTTATTAAAGACAGCTAAGTAAGACTTAAATAAATATTATATTAAATTAATTTTACCTTTATTACATAACAATTGTTTTTGTTTTTTGCATATATTTTTTTGTTTCTGTTATAGAAGTGTTATTTTTAATGGACGTAATAATATGCAAGCATGGGGTCTTATTGTATTGTTAATTTCAAAAGCTGCTGGTCATTTAAACGTAGATAACATGGAAGAAGACAAGGCTGCTGGTGTATTACATAGGTATAATATTATAGATTAAAATAAAGTATATATATAAGTAAAAGTAAGCAAAAAATCTGTACTAAACTGTATTTTAGCCAGCGAGCATTGGCTGAAGTCACTGAAATGATACGTACCAGTCATCTTGTACATAAAGGACTAATAAATATAGTACCAAGCCTTCATTTAGAAACTTCAGAATTAAATGATATGAATGTTGGTAACAAGATTGCACTATTAAGTGGAGATTATTTATTAGCTAATTCTTGTGCAGAATTAGCTAATCTTCGGAATCAGGAAGTATGTACATAAACATATAAAATATTCTGTGGTTCTTAAGAATAAAAGCTATTCACTATAGTATGATTTTATTCAGATTGTAGAATTAATGTCTAGCGCTGTAAGAGACCTGGCCGAAGCAGAATTTATAGGACGCAGAGATAGTCAAAACAATCCTTTGCCTTCTGTACCACCTGATGATCGTACAGATTATGCAGTCGAAGAATGGACTCTGAGGAATGTATTAAGTGCTGGTGCTTTACTTGGTAAATCATGTAAAGGTACACTGAAACTGGCTGGACATAGCAATGAAATACAAGAGCAGGGTTACAACTTTGGTAAACATTTAGCATTAGCTTGGCAAGCTTATTTGGATTTGAGTCCATTCATTACAAAAGATCAAAGTGTAACATTCAGTCTATGTTCTGCTCCAGTTATGTTTCATATTGAACATGACCCATCAATTCTAGCTGAAATTGATAAAGGTTTAGAATCTGTAAACGATGTAGATTATGAAAAGGTAGATATATAAATATTCATACCTAGATAATGTAGTTTTTTTAATGAAATTTATAATTATAAACAAATTTAATGCAGGTTTACAAAATCGTCTTGATGGGGCCGGGTGTCGAATTAACAAAACAATTGCAAAAACGACATTCACAAAGGGCAATGGAAGTTTTAAACGTATTTGAGAAAAGTGATGCGAGGACAGCATTGTATAATATTATAGCAGCCATGGAAGAGTCTGAATAATGACTTATAACATCTAAACTTCATATAATTGCCCAAAGATCAGTTTAAGGACTCCGTCCTATGTTAAGTTTTCAATTCTACCGTAAGTCGTACACAGACATGTAAAATTTATACATAAAATGTAGCATAAAAAATTAAGACCACATTATAAACATAATATATTATATAAATAACAAAGTTGATACATTTTATATTAAATGGTGTTTGAATAAATTTTTATTGACATAATAAGTATCTGTACTTTCTATTACATGTATAAGATTAAGCAAAAGAGACTTTATAAGAGAATTGTTTCCAACAAGTCTACTACTGCAAAAAGGTATGGGAATGGATGCAAGGTGTGAATCTGAAAATGACTGATAAGAACACTTAAATTTGTAACGTTCGAACAGAATAACTTTTGAATATTAAACATGTTACACAATTATTTCTACTAATTATATAATTAGTGATGGTACATTGCAAAAAAATCGTTGTAGCTATGTCTGTACGCATTCTAAATCTGTAATATAGAGTTATAACAAAAATAATGTAAGTTAGCAGTATAGCATTACAAAGTAGTTAGCATTACAAAAAAGTATTGCATGCAATATCTATGCGAATCCTAAGTTTGTGATATTGGGCTGTTACAAAAATAATTTAGATGTTTTTGTAAGTTATTTATTTGAAAAACCGAAATTACATTTGCAATAATCTAATAGATACTATGTATATAGAAATCGGAACAGATTAAGTAGTTGTAGGAAAGGTATATATCTGCTGGCGAGCGTTGGAGGTAGCCGCCATAAATAATAATTTCATAATAATGATTGCAAAATATGTATTTCATAACAATAATTTCAAAATACATATGTTCAAATACGTTTAATAATAATTTTATAACAAAAAGAAACTCTATTTTGGACTTTTATCAAATATGTTTTATCTATCCTGAAATGTGTCTCTCTGCACGTGATTTCTAATACAATTAGGCGGGACAAAGTTATTCAATATATTAGTACAATAAATACACCAATATAATTTACCATCAACAGACTCTCGTCTGCGCTACCTTCCAAGAGATAGCGTGTTCAGAGGCACAGGTCTCAGCGAATTTCCGCGAGATGTAGCAAAGGTCTAAGTGTCGAGGAAGAAATGCTCTACGTTATCACGTAGGTGTTTACAGAAGCTTGTGGACAATACGCGTCGCCACGTATTCTAAAGAAATCGGAAACGAGGCTGCCGCGATTCAATCGAAAATCGCCGATTAGGAATGAGCATTCGGCATTAATGAGACGCGAGAACTAGCTTCGGACTGACGTGACAAATTGAAACGCATTATCGATTTCTCCCCAAGGCAGCCGACTCGGCGTGAATAGTGCAAACCTAATGGTTTTTTGTTGCATTTTGATCAACGATGCGTCGCGAATAGAGGCTTTTTGATTTATTGTCGGCCTAGTCGCGGATCTAAGTCAGACTCATCGATTCGTGTTAATGGGTAGTCTCGACTGCACTTTTCCAAACCGGCCGTTTCACTCGGCTTGGCTCGAATGATGAATTCCGATAATTACGGATCCGAAGGCGGCTATTTTTCCTCAAACCCGGCCAGTAAAGCGTCATTGGCGAGCTCAGCGAGTCATTCGGTTGCAAAAGACCGAATCATGAATGGTGGCAATTCCTTGCTATTGAGATTGGCACGCAATGTTACCATTGAGATTTTGCGTAATTCAGTAAAGGGGATGATCGATCATTGTTAAACGAAAGTAACAACAGATATTGATGCTTACGACTCTCTCGAACTACTCTTCGAGTTCTTGGTAACGGAACCGTGCTGTCACAATCTGTTACTACAGAATGTTACGGGAATTTAATCTCAATTTACTGCTTAGCTGATAATAGAAAATCAAATAATAATAATAATTTATTCATGTATACGAATAGAAAACCTTTTGTTAGAGATAAAAGTACGATAAAAATTGAAAAAGAGAAAAAGAAAAGAAAAATAAAGTAAGATGTACAATAGTTTATGTAATAAACATATAGTAAATATAGTAAATGTATATAGTACAGGAAAATATATATACGTTTTCTAATACAATAAGTTATATTAACATTTTTTAAATACATAGTAGCAAAATATATAAAAATTGTAATATGTACTACCATCATGTAGCAAATATATACATATAATACACAACATAATTAATCGGTGTTTTAGATCGATGAAATATATGGGTAAGTATGTGTACTGTACTATTATGTAGTGATACATTGTACATTATTATGTGTATATGACACATACTGTACTATCTATTCAATAGTATAGTGGGGAGCGGGGTACATATTCATATTTGTAAACATGTCACGAACAGGAACGAAATTGGACTCAAAAAAAGTAGTAAGTATAATACAAACTTAGATTTACTTAACCGATTTATGGATAATTATAAGTTTTGCATTCCTAACTTATGTTGCGTTTCTTGGTAATATTCAAAAATTATTATCGAAATCATAAGTAAGGTTATGTTGAAATTATGGTATTATAGATTGCGTGACGGTCTTAATTTAGTTGAAAAACAGTTTAATATTTACATTAAAGGTCTAAATAACATAATAATTTCAGAATTCTGAATTATTCACGTTGACGTATGGTGCATTAGTAGCCCAGTTGTTAAAGGATTATGAAAATGTAGAAGATGTTAATAAACAGCTAGAAAGAATGGGCTATAATATGGGAATTCGTTTGATTGAAGATTTCTTAGCACGTACTGGATCTGGTCGGTGTTACGATTTTAGAGACACAGCTGAGAAGATACAAACTGGTTTTAAAATATTTTTGGGTATTACCCCAACGATTACAAACTGGAGTGCTGCTGGAGATGAATTCTCTTTGTGCTTTGAAGCAAATCCATTAACAGAATTCGTAGAATTACCGGATCATTGTTTAAATTTAAAATACTGTAATATATTAATTGGAATTTTAAGAGGAGCTTGTGAAATGGTACAAATGGAAATTGCTTGTTGGTTCGTACAAGATCAACTTAAGAATGACAATGTAAATGAATTACGTGTTAAGTTCATTAAAAGACTAGAAGATGCCATTCCAGCAGGAGAAGATTAAGTAAGCTCATTGTATTGAAACAATAAACCATTGTGGTGAATTTAAAATTGTTTATTTTATTAAACAGCTTAATCTCTGTAATTAATTGTAATAGTATATATGATATGATATATATAGATTAATTGAAAACAAATATCAATTTAAAATGAGACAATTTTATATCAAAATATTTGAAACTATTTTTTATTGTTTTTATATTATTGTGAATTATTATATTTTACTTTTTATTTATGCAGTATACATTTTGTTTATATAAATGCACCGTTAATAAAACAGTTTTATTTGTTCAGAAAATTACAATCAATAATGTTGTTTTCAATGATACACGTGATTCATACAAGAATTATATGTAACAATTTGTTTCTATTTAATTAATATCAGATATTCTTAGTTATTTTTGTATATAACAGATTTTTATAATTAATAAGTTTAATCCTCAATTATAATGCGTGTTATAAATAATATGCATACATAACATATAGGTATGTATGCACATCATACATACCATTGCAGACTCATTCTCGGTGACGCGTAGAAGTATAGTAGGTTAAGGTACAATTTTTATCTCGGAAGTACACTAGGTTTTTATAACGTCCACAAGTTTGTTTATAATTTATTTTATAAATCATATCGATGGATCCTTATTACATTTTTTGAGACAATGTTATAAAATTTTTGTAGGCAATGGAAATAAAATGCAAATATTGTAGAAAAGATCTTTTCAACAAAGTACCAATACAGCTATTAACTTCTCATGGTGAAGCAAAACACAATTTTATGGATGTAGGATGCGGCAGTACAAATGATTCAGAACCTTCTTCATACATACCAATAGAAAATATGCCAAAATGGATTGCTGACATTGTAAATCAAGTAAAGTTTACATATGTACATATTCGTTTATAAATATTATATAATATATACATATATGTATATACATATATACGTATATTATACTATATGAAAAATAAAATGTTAATTCGATGAAAATAATGTATGGAATTTCAAAAGTTCTTAAATAAAACCCACATAATATAATATACATTTGTTACAGGAATCTTGGACCAAGGGTAGACTAAATTGTCCTTATTGTAACAATCGCCTAGGCTCATTTAATTTTGTAAATGAACTAAAATGCAGTTGTGGTCAATTTGTAACACCCTCTGTTAGAATAACT